GAGTGCAATATTGCGGGCGCCTGGGTTCCAGGATGGTTTTGCAATGTGGTGGCAACATCATAGAATTGCCGGCGACCATGACGCACCTCAGGTTCTTCCCACATGTGCAGCTCCACCATCTGCTGAGTTCATTGAGCCTATCTTCAGGTCCTTCAAGCAGAACTTCGATAGTTTTGAAAGTTGGCACCTTCGGAAGAGAGGCCAGTCTCTGCAGCTGAAATATGATAAGACACTGCGGGCATTATATCAGGACCTCCAGACACCCAAGAGGGATGGCATTGACCTCCTCTGCCATGACAAGGAGTACACAATCCTGGCCGTCGATGAGACTGGTCGCAATGTGCATCTTGATGCTTCTGTGGACACCAGAGGCACTTCCTTGTGGTGTGTTGATGAGGTTCCTGCGCGGCTTTCCCAGGTGAATGGCGACCAGTGCTCCATTGAGATAGCCACCCCTGTTGGGGCAGAGATGGTTCTTTGTCAGCGGCAGTACCTATCGTCGGTTCAGGAAGTTCATGATGAGCTGCTGTGTCACTGGACCCAGCGATGGAATAATCGGACTCAGCCATCTTAGGAGGAGTGAGGCAAAATCACCGGGTTTTTCCGGGCGTACGTGCCGGTCATGCAGTTTGATTTGCCTCCTATCACACCGATACAGTGGAAGCGTGCTCTCAAGCGCTATAAGCCCACCGCTGCTCGTGGAGTTGATGGCATCTCCCACGTTGACCTTGCACGTCTGCCGGACGCATGGTTGGAAGTGCTTCTGGACTTCATTCAGCAGGTTGAACAGGGGCGACATGGCTGGCCGCAACAGCTGCTCTATGGGGTCACTGCATGTTTGGCCAAGGCCGACGGAGCGTGTGAAGTGGGCTCTTTTCGTCCCGTGGCCATCTTTGGCATCGTATATGGAACTTGGGCGGCTATCAGATCACGGCAGCTGCTGCGTATTCTTGCTCCTCAGGTTCCTGCTTCAGCATGTGGTTTCCTGGCAGGACGTGAGCCAGCCCAGTACTGGCTCAAGTTGCAAGCGACCGTTCAAGCTGCTTTTCAAACTGATCAAGTTCTTTCTGGTGCCTCCACCGATTTGCGACGAGCTTTCAACACGATTCCTCGTGAGCACAGTTTTCATTTGGCTCAGCACTTGGGTGTTCCGGAGTGTGTTCGGTGGCCGTGGAGGCGGTTCTTGCAAGAATGCACACGTGCTTTCCAGATTGGCTCCTTTCTCAGTGAGCCACTCGTGTCCTCATGCGGCATGCCGGAGGGGGATAGCTTGAGCGTATATGCAATGGTTCAGCTGGATTTTGCGCTGCATCTGTAGATGCAGGCTTTTTCGCCAGCGCCTACGCGTACATTGAGCTTTGTCGACAACTTCATGCTGGTTGTCCCGGATCCTGGACAGTTGGCCCAAACATGGACATGCTTGATGGCGTTCCTCGAACTCTGGCACATGGAAGCCGACTCAGGTAAGACCTATTCTTGGTCGTTGAGTGGACCTCATCGGGATCAGCTGAGGCTGCTTGGATTTCAGTGTGTTTTCAATGCCACGGAGCTTGGAGGTCATATGACATTTGGAGGCCGTAGGTCTATTGCTCATCAGGAGTGGCGTCTGGCCCGGTTGGATGCCAAATGGGATCGGCTGCGGCTTTCGAACTCAAAAGCTGATGTCGCTCCGAACTGTCTTCTGGCCCACTGCTCTTCATGGGATGGAGGCTAGCGAGATCAAGCCCAAGCACATTGCTACCCTTCGTTCGCGCGCGTTGAAAGCGGTTCGGATAGGCAAGGCTGGCGTCAATCCGCTGCTCCGCCTATCCTTGTTGCCGGACATGACCACGGACCCAGGGTTTTTCCATGTGGTCAGGACTTTTCACACCTTCATTCGGCTGTGTTCAAAGGATCTCGGATTTTTCCATGGATGGCTGGCCTTTATGCAGCGATTTGATGGTCAGCTTCATGCTGGCCCTTATTCGAAGCTCTTGGACACAATCTGGTGGAAGTCGGCCTTCGTGTGCTGGATTTGCTCTTGGAGGATGCATGGCTGCAAACTCTTCCCCATCAAGTTTCCCATCGTGCAACTCTGAGGGACCTGAGTGGCCTGGATCCGGCACTGCTGCAGGAGGATTCCTCGCAGCTTTCTGCTTTGGACCAGGCTCTGGTCATGTCGCTTCGGAGTGGGGCCTTCTTGTCATCGGCATCTCAGGCCAAGTTCGACCTCACCAAGCAGTCTCAGTGCGCACATTGTGGTTCCGAAGATACACATCAGCATTGGGTATCGTGTCCAGGGTACGAGGCGCGTCGACGGGCGATTTTTGGCCCAACACCGGATCTAGCAGCAGATACAATTGCATTGCAGGCGCACCTTCTTCCGTCACGTAATCCATGGAGCGTGGAGTTGAAGCAGTACTTGACGTCCTTGCCGGATCATAGCTGCTCATTTGTGCCTGCCCCAAGTGCAAGTGCGACTCAGCATCTTTTTACAGATGGTTCCTGGAAGCGTCACAGCAACCCATACATGTCGAGGGCATCGTGGGCGGTAGTCAATGCAACCACTTCGCTGCCGGTTGCTTCGGGTACGGTGCCAGGGCTTTGGCAATCAATAGGTGCTGCAGAACTCTGGGGGCTCATTAACGCCACTGAATGGACATTGGCTTACAGCGCCTCCGTGCACATCTGGATGGACTCAAAGTTCGTTGTGGATAGCGCTTCGCAGGTACTTACCGCGGGGGAGGTGCCGGCCCATTGGGGTAACCTTCAGCTGTGGCATCGGTTGGCGGATCTTTTTCACCAGCTGGTGGAGAACCCACCGCGTCTTCACTGGGTACCTTCTCATTTGGGAGCAGCTGCGGGAACGAATCCGTTCGAGGATTGGTTTTTCACTGGAATGGAGTAGTGGATGATCTAGCTCTTCAGGCAAACGAGATGCGTGGCAATGCCTATTTGCGATTGTGGGAAGCCGCGTTGGGCTATCATGATGGTACTCTTGCCAAGGTACGCTGGTTGCGTGCCTTTTACACCTCAGTTGCCAAAGAGTCGAGTCAGAGCTCCATTGCGTCTCAACCTGGTGAATGGCCTACAGTGGAAATCGGGGCCATGCGTAATTCGAGAGCTACTTCGATCACTGCCAATTTGACCCCAAACTGGGCCAATGAGCTGTCATGGGGGCCGAGGCTCTCCATTCCTTTGGAGTTTCCTGTGCAAGTTTTGCAGTGGATTTTGCAGAGCGAGGATCCTCTCGCTACTTCGTTTCCCCTCAGTATTCACGAGCTTACTGCGGGATTGATTATTTCGGCGATCCCTTTTCCTTTTATGGACCGGCAAGGGAGGTGGCGGCTGGAACCACTCAGCTCACGCTTTGAAAGGCCCACCTTCGCTTATTTGGTCACCATGGTCAGGAGATCCCTTAAGCTTTTGTCTGTGCAGCTTTCATTTCAGATCTGCACTGGCTGGGACAAGACCAGCATTGGGATCCATTTTCCAGTCAGTGGCATTTTCACGTCACTTTCTGATGATGCCGTAAGCCGGATTCACTCGGCTATGAGGCTTTTTACAGTTCGCCCTCTGAGGCGTGCGTGCGATTTGGCACGCCCATTTTAGCCGTGGACCAGAGCGATGGGGGGAATCACCCCCGGGTGCCACCGGTTCCGCTGAAGCTGAGCCGTGGCATCCTAAACAAGTCCGAGCTATAGGGTCCCCTTATTTCGATACAGTACATGCCCAAAATTTGTCAGCGGGAAGCAGCTGCTTTGTTTGCAAATGGGTTCGGAACCAGGATGTTTACCAGCCTAATGGGCAACCACTTTTACTTTTACCGTACGAACATGTACATGTCCCACTTGGCCTAGAAGCCAAGCAAAGATAAGTCCCGCTCCGGAATCTCTGTGTGTGTGTGTGCTCTGAGGGTAGCCTTCTCAAGATGGTTTTCCCCCGATGTTGACACAGATTATGCTTCTAACATCCAGATCCTTCTCCGCAATTCAACAAAGGACCTCCTGAACCCACACACACTGCCGCCTGCCCAGTGGCTATGGGGAAAAGGGCACTTCATGGTAGTTGATGTTAAGAAGAGACACCCTGTCAAAACAAATGACACAAGCCTGTTACCAAGGTCGGTCTTGAGGAAATGTGCCGCAGACTTCATGCTTGTTAACGTTCAGCCCTGAACCCAGGAATCCATTTTGTCTACCATCATTGTACGTAGCACAAGGCCCCAGATATATGAGATGTCATCAAACGTTGTCACAGCATGCGAGATCGAAACGGACTTCGCTTTCCATCTTCCCTCCGGTTTGGCAACGCGTCACCAACGCCCCCGTCAAAGCACTGAAGGTCGGACGGAGGATTGAATCCGTCGGAGCAGAACAGGCCAAATGAGCAAGGCACCCTATCTAGTGATCTCATTTGAGGTCCGAGGGTCGTGCCCCATTTGCCTCAGGAAAGCCCTGGGCAAACCAGTCTGAAACCCGAAAGGAGTCCTTCGTGGGTGGGCTCGTGTGTCCCTGCCAGGAAGAGGCAGAAATGGGCGAACCCTCAGATTGAAATTGGCAAGACACGATTTGAAGGGTGGAAGTACTGTAGCTTCAGCCCAACCAAAAATAACACATTCAGATTCTGGCAACCACATGTTGTCAACTTTGCAATGTAAAACGATGCCACATTTGAGAGGTCCATTGTGGGGTTCTCGCCTCCGGAAGCAAGCCTTATTGGCCCCAGTCTGAAGTAGCTGTGTGCGCAGAGGGATTTCAGTTGATCTTCCCGGGTTGCTTTCAGTCTGGGTCAGAAAACAGACACATTGGCCCAAATCCCGGCTTCTCTCGTGGCCGGCGAAAGGGAAACCAACAAAAACCAGTTGGCAACTGAGGACATGGACCTGGCAAACTGACCCATGTACCCTTGTGCTTTGCCCATCCTTTTTTGGAGCGGAGAACTCATTCATGTTGGACCCTGATGGAATACTACCCCCATACATTACCTGGGGGTCTCGTGTTGTTGGGGCTCCCAACCTTTCGAGGGGAACGTTCCTGATTCCTAATTCTCCTTTTGCAGGCAGTTCTGCACGCGACTCGCGTCGTGCTCCATTTGCACAGCCAAATTCTCACAGCAAAGCCCTGGCAAGCGCAGGCGACTGTCAAAACAACGGGCAAATTATGAAAAGGGGCGCAACCCCAACGCGACCTCGCGATTTCGTTTGTCCAATTGGAGCACAAAACCTGTGGATTTCAATTTGAAGGGCTAACATTGTAACACATGACTCAGTTGCCCAAAGGACCTGGAACTAAAAGGCTAACCTTTTGGGGCCATGACTAAATATGGACCACAATGGGAAAACCAAAAGGTCAAAAGGTCGGCGTTGAACAACTGAGATGAAGTATCATGTCTAGCCAGAGGCTTTGTACCGTCGTTACAACTGGTGTCTTTCCTCTTGGCTTCAACAAACAACAAACAACAAGCACCAGCCGAACTGCCCACAAAGGCCATCAATTCGCATGGACACCCCTGGCTGTTTCCCGAGTCGCATGTTGACCCCGTATTCATCGACCAGCTTAGAAATATGGGTGTCCCTGGGTTGGGAGTCATCACTTTTGGAGGGGAACACCCCCACCCCCATATTAATGAACTGGTTGGTTGATTTGAATCTGGAGTCAACTAATTTGCAAACCACCCGATTTGGTGGGCGTCCGACATGGTGGTTTCCCTTGAGAACCACCCAAAAAGGTAGCTTCCTGAGAGCCAAGAACCGCGCCAAGTCGCGTGGATAGGACAACCCCATCAAAAAGAAGCCGCAAAAACCGCGCTGAGAGGTCGTCGCTAGCCTCTGAAAGCTTGCAGTTCCAGAGGCTGGCCGGTGTGTGTCAAAACTGGATCCCCCAATGGTTTCCGACCTGGTGATGTTGGTGATGCCGGGGATGCGGCCAGCCAGCCAGCCAGCCAGCCAGCCAGCCAGCCAACCAACCAACCAGGGCTAAGGGGGGACCAGGGCTAGGAAAAAAAAAAACACCATCTCCACCTGAAAAGGGTGCCCAAAAACAAGCACAGCTAGGGAGTCTGGCCGTAAGAGACTCTACCACCCCCTGTCAAAGCAATCGCCCACCTTTTCTCGCCAACCTCACCTTTCATGGGGGAGGCTGTGAAAACCCCCTGCCGTGTTTGCGTGTTTTTGCCCGCAGGCTGTCCCTAGGCGCTGCAACCTAGGTCCTCCAGATTTGAGAGGCTAGAATAAGTTGGTACCCACTTTTTTTTTGTCTATTTTAGTAGGGGAACCCTCCCAACCAAAAAAGGGTGAGAGGTCGGGGGGGGGACCTAGGCAAGGCCTTTTTTCGGGAATCCTCACTCCCTGAGCATCCTCTCTCCTGATCCTCCCAAAGGGGTTAAGGGCACCAATCGCTAGGGCGCCCGACGGTTTGGAGCAGAAAAGCTTTGGGCAGTCCTGGCTCTTGAGCTCCAAAGAAAGCGCTGTCCATAGGCGCTTGCAGGATTGCACCAAGCCAAAATCCAACCCCCACCGAAGCGACTCACCGTTTGCGCGCCTGAAGAACAGCAGGTACAGCGGGCTCCAGGCAGCCCAGGCCCCACTGGGCGCCTCGCCCTCGGCAGTCGCAGGTGTTCAGTTCCGGCTCTGTGGCCCAGAGGTGATCAACCACCCAACCGAGGTCGTAGCTCAGGGCCCAGAGATAACCCAGAAATCCAAGGTGATCACCTGTTTTTTTGTTTTCTCTTTCTTTCTTTTTTTAAAGTCCTGTTTACTAAGAAGTGATGACCACATGTTGGGTCCGGCTAAACCACCCAACGGAGGTAGCAGCCCGGAAATCAAAGGTGATCACCCTTTTTTGTTTATGTCAACACCAGACCATTTTTTTACGAAAAAGTGATGACACAATGGTAGGTCAAAGGTCGAAAGGTCGAAAGGTCGAAAGGTCGAAAGGTCCAAAAGGTGTTCTATGGGCAAATGAGGCTGATGGTGCTTCAGGTCTAACCAGTTGGGAGGGTATTCCCCAATAGCAATGTGGTCGGTTTAACCCTACACGCTTCTTCTTCGAAATAGTTTCTTTGGCGTCCGTGAAAGTACCTGGCATACTTCCTTGCAAAGGGGGTCACCATGTAAACCTTGGATCTGTGAGGATGAGAAAACCCTCGTGCAGGGCCTAGGCCAAGCAAAAGGCCATGGACGTGACTTTTTGTTTAATGGCTTGGCGGGATATCGAACCCTCGAGACATGCCCAGACGAGTCCTGAACATGGCTTCAATGGTTGAGGAGTGGTTGCTTGAATCTGGGTACTGCAATCCCCAACCGGAAGAGACGCCAAAACGAGACATGAGCTACAGCGGTACGGCCTTTTGTCCCCGTGTGAATCGCCCAAAAATCGGCGATTTGCAAGCATCGCGAACATGGACGCCTGGAACATCCTGGAAAAGGAACCTGAGTTGGGAGAAAAACCTCAGGCCCCCCCGCCTCGGCAAGGTTCTGGGAAACCTCGAGGGTTCTTAGAATCGAAGAACCCCGCAACGGATGCATTTTCATACCTCCTAGCGGTATCCTTTTTTCTGCTTCGAAAGAGAACAACCTAGGTCCCCACCCCCCTCCCCCCCCAAAAAAAAACAACAACAAACAAACCCCAAACCCCAAACCAGCCCAACCTGCCCCCCAGTTCGTTTGAAGTACCTCAAATTTGTGGGACCGGACCGGAATATACATGTTTTTTTCGCTGGGACCCTTGGCAGTTGACACACACACACACACACCCAACAGCCCCTGCCTTCAGCCCGGGACACTCGTTTGTGATTGACTTCAAAGTCAACCCCCCCCCCCTAAAGGGAAAACAAATGGCACCACTGGATGTCTGGAAAACTATGATAAATATTGCGATTCTGCATTTCCCGACTCTCTGGCAGATGTGGTCGGACACAGTTGCCCACACCGAATCAAGCTTCGAGAGTTAGTGAATGACAGTTTGACGTTGAGCAGCAACCACTTGTTAAGTTTCCGAACGTTTTGGCATCATAGTGAATGTTTAATAGTCATGAAAACGTTTGATGCCAACTTCTTGAAATACTTTGAACGCCTAATTTCACTAAGTACTGGACTGCATCCAGGAGCTTTCACTCATAATACCCCCCCCCCCCCGCCCCTCCCCCATCGGTGAGCACACTATAAATTCAACTGAGTGACAACCAAAACCCGGTATTAAAATGGTCTACCCAGAACCATGAAAAGAATTGAGAAGGCGGCCGCAACTATTTCTGGCTGGGACTGCCTCTTACTAACCTTCAACAACCCGGGTATTGATTCTGGCTCAGCTGTCGATCAATTGCAATCACCGTGACTGGCCCTCCAAAGGCACACGTGGCTAAAACTTCCCTCAGGGCGAGCTGACGGCAACGTCAACGCACATGAGTGTACGGTCTTAAGTGCATGCCCCAAATGGGAGGAGCCTCAAATCCGCGACTCTGCATGGGCTATAGAGGAGTTGTAATTGTATTTTGTATCCAGAGTACTCAATTCCCAGTTCGGGTTTGGCTGTTGAAGTAAACATGACAGAGGTTCCAAAGCCATGTGAGATCCAGTCAACCCTCCCCCCCTCCTCCAAAGGAAACATAGTCATAAAGCCGAACGGATGGTCCGCATATTGGGTCGGGGCCATGTCTCTCCTGCAGCCTTCGAGGGATCTCACTTGAAAACAAGCTGTGGTCTCCAGCAGAAAATTTTTCAAGTCAGCCGAAGCAGTGCCCTGTGACGAGTTGGGCTTCAACTTAGAACCGTTTTTGGGTTGATGCGCAACTTGCAAGCCCTTTTTGATAGGGCTGTGAAAAAATGGAATCAATTCTATGATACAACGGAAAGGGCTTCCCAAAGACGAAATTGTTCAGAGAAAGGGGGATTCCCTTGTATCACAGAAGTGGGGATAAACCCCTTGATCCCACAACCCTGCTCTTTGATGATGAACATTCTAATTGGGTACCGTACCCCTTTGTGGGTTGCTTTGGTTGAGATGCCAAGCCCAACATGCGAGACGTGTTCCGACTCAGAAATGCCAAGGAGCACTCTGCAGGTTCTGAGCGCGACAAAGGCAAGCTCGTGGCCAAGGTGATGTTTGAACACAACGCGCAGGACCCACAAACAAAAGGTGATCACCTTTTGGGTCTATAGACATGGGCCAAAACGGGAGAACCAAAGGTCAAAAGGTCGATTCGCTTTGGGCGGGACAAGGAACTAGGGGACATGGCCGCATTTCAAAGGATTCCCATCCCAATGCCCTCCAAATAGTTGGAAGGACACAAAGCCTTCCAAATAATTCTGTACACATATGTTTATCCTACAATCATGACTTAATCGTTTTTTGTTCAAGTACCCAACAGCCCCACCCATTCTAATCATTTAGGCCCTTGTAGTAGATTGCTGAACATGAAGCGAGTCACAATAAGAACCTGAGCTATCGTGACATTCCCTTGCTCAGCTTTTACCCTGTGGATTGTGACGTCACATCTTCAACCTCGCCGCGACATTCTAAGCGGCCGAAAGTGGGACATGTGAATTCCCTTTGTGTGAAGTCGCCATCTCTACATGGCCAATGGTATCACAAGCGGCCCTCACACCACGACTTCGTTTTTCATGGCAGCGTCTTGGCTTCTCCCGGAAGGTGGCTCACATGTTTGCCGCTGTTTGCCAAGATGAAAAAGACCACGACATGCTTGAAGACGAAGAAACCATCAGGGTGTATGTTAAAACTTCTGTTCATGAGTGGATTGACCCCAAAAGAGTCCAGCTCGTTCCCAAAAGAGTCCAGCAATCGAACTCAGGATCCAAGTTTTGCCCATTGCTAATTCTAGTCAAAGCATGCTGAGGTGGCCATGGGTCAAAAGCCCGTACCCCCAGTGAACATCCCAATCCCCACTAAAATAGACGAAAATGGGTGGTGAATTCACCTACCCCGAAATGGTACCATTGGTTTTGACCCACAGCCAAGCCGGAAAGCAGCGATTCAATGACCAGACCTCCAGTTGCCATTGGACAAATGGGCATGTCGTTGGCGGTGGATTCTCAAAGGGAAGACCCCTCCATGACAACAAGTTTCTCCCCCTCATCTACCTGGTTTTGATTGCGGATCGGTTCAGTTGGGCCCAATAGAATTTCCATCATCTCACATGACCTTTTCAGAATTTCAATTTATTGTTGTGTCACTCCTCCCATTGTCAATGTGAAGCTGCTGCTCGTCAGCTGTTGCTCATCTGTGCCGAAGAAATAGCAGTCTTTGGACTGAGGTTATTTTTTGTGCCTAAGCTCAATATTTCACTCACCTGGTAACCCACAATGGAACCCTGGCAAATGGAACCCAAAACTAAAACCTTGGGTTTCCTGGTGGTTTAATTTTGACCCATACAATGAACTGTTCCATTTCGTTCTCAGGCGAGCTGGCTCTTTCTGAGGCGTTTATGCAAGGTCTCTCTCTGTATTGTCGACGGTGTATTGATCTCCGAACAGTGAAGTTGAAAGATATTGAACATATTTCCCAACATTGGTGACAAGCACACATACATATCATGTGTATGCATATATACCACCCCCCCCCCCCCCCCCCCCCCCCCGGAAAAAGAAAACAAAGAAACAGAAAAACTCGCTCCAAGAGAGTTTGACAGTATTTACAATATTTTTGGGTGATTTTCACCCCCTTTTCAGGCACCTCGCGTTGGAGCATTTATCTGTGCCCGCATGTGCACGTTTGACTGTGACTGTAGCTGCCAGAAAGGCTTTAAAGCTCTTTTGGATCTAAGAGTCAAGATGCAAGATTCCTAGGACTCTAGTTCTTGAATCTTGAATCCAGCATGGGGTCCCAAAAACGCTTTTAAGCGTTTTAGAGCACTTTTGGATCTAAGATTCAAGATTCACAGGACTGTAGATTTTGAATCTTGAATCCAGTATGGGGACCCCACAACGCTTTAGAGCGCTTTAAAGCACTTTTGGATCTAAGATTCAAGAGGTGTTGAAATAAATTTAGTTTACGACCAGAAGGTGTATGAAATGATTGAGCAAGGGTCAAAAGAAGGAACGCCACACACATTTCTCAGAAAGTAGAAGCACCTACTATTTAAATTAGTGGCAAAGTCTTAATGAATCATTTGCGCAAGTCTGCAACATTGCAAAATGAGCCCCTTCTGGTAACATCCGTCTAAAATGACCTGACTTCTATAACAAAAGCAGCAGGCACGGGTTTTGAAGGAGGGGGGGTTGCATATATATATATATATATATATATACATATATATATATACACATTACATATATATATATATATATATTGCATGTTTATTTCAATTGCGGTTAGTATTGTTATTATTTGCATTGTAATGCTAGTTGTTCTTATGGCTACTAATGCTCGGATCACTCTCTTCACCGGGGAACAATTGAGACGGTAGGCTCGTTTCGCCCTCTACCCCTGAGCCCAGTCCGACAGACTCCCGCCTGCGCAGCCACTTGCTCCTGGGGGCGGGGGGCACCGCCCCCCAATTTCCCCCTGCCAGGGGCTTCATCTGGGTGGACGTTGGGTGGGAGCAAAAAGATAAATGGCAGTTCAGTGGTTGGATTTCAAAACCACTAAACCACAATACGCAAAAGTGGGCAACATGCTTCCCAAAAACCGTGTCATGGGGTAAGCGCTACATGGCCTCCAAACAAAAGGTAGCCCGAACTGCTCTGGGGGTTGGATCTCCCGTGGCCACGGCACAAGACCCTTACAGCAAAAAGGACGAATGGTTTCGTTCCCTACGTATTCCTTTTGAAACATAGCACTAAAAGGAAACTCGCTGCACAATTGGCCAACAAAATAATGTTCAAAACCATGTGGAAAAACATAACATAGAGTGGTGGGTTTTCTACCCTTGCAATATGCCCTGCCGCCAAACCTTCTGCGAAGCTTCCGCGCGCAAGCTGCTTCTGGAAACTGAGGAAACTGGCTATTTGTGCGCACATTGCCAGTGAGAGTGCTTGGCCAAAAACACTCGAATAACGACAATTCAACAACGTCGCTTTGTCGGGCACGGCTTGCTTGTTGGAAGGTCGTTCACTCGCAGCAAATCCCGCGCAGCTGCAGGGCAAGGTCGTTTGATGGATGATGTGTTGCGGAAATCTTACGGCATTGAGCTGATGCTGAAAAAACTTGCTGGCATCACTGTGGAGGCAGAAGGCGTGAGGCAGATGGAACGCAGGACAGCCAACTCAAGCGCGGGCCCTGGGCGGTCCAAAAACAACTTCGAGACTGACACTGCGTGAGCAGCTTACCCAGCAGCCTTTTTGCGCCCGGGGCAACACAGGGCGCTAGACCAGGCCTTGGTCTTGGAAGATGTGCTTCACAAGTTCGCCAAGGCGAGGAGCGTTGTGTCTTTCCAGCTTATGTAGACACTGGCACAGAGCAAATCTGCGAGCCCTGGGCCAGCGCGCATGGCTAAGGTGCCCGAGATCCTGCAAGGTTCGTAGAATCCAAAAGAATCGAATACGATACATATTTGTGTGTTAT